TATAGATATTTGAAAAGAACAAAGTTTATATAGAGCTGAGGTTTTAAAGAATCAAATTAAAACCCACCTCAAATATTTCACTATCAGAGATTTGTTTTGATGCTCAAATATGATCAAATTTATTATCTCGACATTAAGATGCATGGACATGAGATAAAAGTGGATTTCAAGTTTTGAAAATAGTGCATCTCATAACGCAGTTTTGGACCGTCAATTATCAAGATTTTCATAGATCTGCTCGATCTACACTATTTTTGAAACTTTAAATTTTATAATTAAAAATGAAAGTATATTTTAAGGTTATCACAAAGATTTCAAGTATTGAAACCACATTTCTCGACACTATTTGAAGGTGTGCTTTACTTTGATTGTTTAGAGCCTTAGCTCTATACAAACCGCACCAATTTGAAGATGTTTCCTTGCCAAATCTATAGAAGTCATAGCCCTATGAAAACCACCCCCCATTTCTTTTAATCACACCCTTTTCAAATTTCAGGTTTGAGATTTTTAGCACTTTTATTTAAAAAAATACACAACAGACTATTTACTTACAATACAAGGAAGTTACAATCAATAGTGTGCCTTAGATTTCAAATCCGATAGTTGTTGTGTGTGTTATTTAATAGACTCAAAGTTAAAAAAAAAAAAATTCAAACTCCTTGACACATCCAAATTATCAAATTTGACATATAATTAAATTACAAGATAAGACTTGTAGCAAACAGTGCCTTTATTTAAAAGTAAAAGATAAGACTCTCAAGGAAAGAGTGAGTAATGGCCAAAACATACATGTAAAAGTATTGTACAATGGGACTTGGGTAGGTGCCTCAACATAATGTGGCAGGCTCCATTCCCACAATAAACACTTTATAAAAAAAAATACTATACAAGTACTAAAAAGTTCAAATCATGCTGGTGCTCTGATTTTCTCTCATTTGAAGAAGAAAGTATGGGGTTTGATTTTCTCTCCCGTTTCAAATTCTAACCGCATAGTCAACGGTCTCAGTTTTGGTCGGTTTTGGTGGACCTACTCGGTATTCTAAAAAAAATCAAAACAAAGTATATAAAATCCTAATAAATAAATGATTTTTGTTTGTAAGTATTTTTTAATATTTTCATCATTTTGACAAAGATTGAAAAGTTTTTTGGCCATTAATATTTTTATATTTTTTAATTATTTTTTTATTTTTAATTTTAAAAGTACCCCAGGGTACAAATCAATTATTTGAAAGGTGTGGTTTCTGTAAGGTTGCAACCTTAAAAAATCCAATAAAGGTGTACCTCCAAAATTTATCATGTAATGTTGGTGTAAAAAAGTATTAGGATTATCTTAAAATCTAATTTCATATCTAATTATAAAATTTTAAACTCCAAAAACGGTTAAAATCAAGTAAATATATAAATATATGAAAATGTGTATTCTAGATAATGTATTGCAAGATGCACTATTTTTGGGACTCAAAATCTTTTTTATTTTTATTTTTTTTATTTTTTTCTTCATATTTATACGTCTCGATGTCGAGATGAACAATTAGAGGGTTTTTTAACATTAAAACAATATTTTCCGATGGATTTTTGAGGCGCATATGTAATTCTACATTTTAAGGTTGCAACCTTATATAAACTTTTTCCTTATTTAAAGTCTATTATTTTCTTTAATTTCCAATTTCATTTGGATGTGTTTTGTTTAATTATGCTTTAAATATATTCTATTTATTTTTTGTATTTTTAACATCTTTTTACTGTCCGAGATATGCTCGATTAGGCCAGTTAGTTTACCCATTAGCACCGAATAACCGCTTCCAGCACCATGTCCAGTTAACCATACTCCCAACCAGTGTTCCCAAAATTGAACTGGAATGATTAACCATACATGGGCCTGGAAGCGGTTTAACCAGCCTAACTGGTAAACCAACCGATTCAACCGCTCTAACCAGGCAAGTCCCGAGCGGTCAAAAAAGTATTGAAAAAAATAAAAAAAAAATCTACTAAAATATGAAAAGCATATAAAAAATGATTAAAAAAAAACACATTCAAATGAAGTTGAAAATTAATGAAAAAAATAGATTTTAACCCATTTTATATTTTCCTATGAATATTTTTAAAATTTTCTAAAAAGATGGGAAACTATGACTAAAAGAATTTTTTATCTTTACTATAATGTAAAGAATATTTAAAAATACATTACAAATCAAATTCCTGATTTTTGAGATTTTATATACATTTTTTTTGAATTTTTTTTAAAAGGGTGCAGTTGGATAACGAATGCATCCATAGGTGTAGAGGTAAGGTGCACCTTCAAAATTTGATGTAAAATGTTATTAGGATTATCTCAAAATTTATTTTTATATCTAATTATAAAATTTTAAATTTCAAAAATGGCTAAAATCAAGTAGATCTATAAACATATGAAAATCTTGAAAATGGACAGTGTAGATAATACGTTGTAAAACACACTATTTATGAGACTTAAAATCTTTTTATTTTTCATAGTCATACATCTCGATGTCGAGATAATCAATCAAAAGTTTTTTCAACATTAAAACCACCTTTTTCGATGAATTTTTGAAGGGCATCCGTAGTTCTACATTTTAAGGTTGTATCTTTTTATAAACTTCTTTTATTAAAAAATACTGGTTGATCACCCTAACCGCCTAAAACGCGAACCGACGATTGGCCGGTTCCGATTTAACCAGGCGGTTAACGGTTAGCTCGGGCGATTTTTGCAAACAATGCTCCCAACAGTGGTGTGAGTTTTCTTACCCTGTCGTGAATTGAGAGGTCTCCTACATGGGAGACAGGCTGGTCATTAGAGTGAAAGTCCCGGGTGTTTTTCATAAATTTTGGCTTCACTTTTGAAGACGTAATTGAAGGGCTTTCCAGTCAATTCTAACATTTGGACTGCTTTGTTTTCCATATCCATTTCGCACCAAAACCACTCAAGTACATGAACGCCTATCAAACCTATAAGTTGTGTTACAAAAGTCCTCCGACCGCTTCGGTGTGCCTCAGCTCATCTATTGATATTTGGTACGGGTTTGGGTCCGGGTTGGAGTCAAGGTCCCGCCAAATCAATTGATTTTTGGCAGGTGTGGCAATTGTTTGGGTCCGAACTAGATCCAAAAATATGATATGGGACCTGGGCCTAGACCCATTCTCGAAAATATAGTGTGTGGCATCCTGGCATGGGCCCGACTCAAAAATTAAAATATGCTTGTATTTAATTATATTTAAATATATTTTATATATCGACACCCACAAATTATTATCGGAGCTGAATAGTATTTGAGTTCGAGTTTTGGACCCTAACCCAACTAGCCGAGTTCAATATTTGGACCTATACCCAGACCTAGATCGAGTCTATCTCTTGGGTCCCGAATCGGGTTTGGATCCATTGCCACCCCTAATTTTTGGCGATCGACTGATATATTTGTTTTTAACATAGAATAAGTGGAATCGAGTGAAAGCGGTAGCAAAGTTAGGCTCTTAGATTGGTACCCCAGTTATAAGTTGTCTCGATGATTTTTAAATTGGACTAGGTTTTTATGAGTCCCCACTATAAATGAGTGACCTCTTAAAAATCCTTTTTTGAAATGAATCTTTCGGCTTAATTTTTAAGGACATGGAATCTCAAACATGGAAATTGTGAATTCCAAAAAATAAATCAATATTGAAAAATAAAAATAATAATTTTATAAAAAAAAATTGAACCTTTAGCTTCAATTGTTTTTAGATAGAATACCTACTTGAATCCATCTTTAAAATGGATGCTTTATTATTTGGGACCACATATTGTAGATATGCGGTCCGACCCACATGAAACGATTTTTCTTTTTTAAATGATGGATAAAACGCTAAGAACAATTGTCTTTAACGCTAAGAACAATTGTCTTTCTTTTTAGCCAAAAATAGCATCTCTCTAGCCAAAATCTCTTTCTTTTGCTCTCTTCAAAATAATATACTCCCTGGATGAACGACTAAACTCTCTTTTACACTCTATGCATCGATCTTTTTTTTTTGGTAGCTTAGTTGTTAGAATCAAATGTGAAATGTAGTATTGTCACTGCAAATTACTAACCACTCAAGTAAAATATTGATACCTATGCATCTATTCTATGTCCCGCTATATGTATATATCAAGATTTTATTTATTATTTATTTATTTTTAATTTTTTATAAAATTTACTAAAAATCGTCTCTTAAAAGTGTTAATGAGTTAGTGTAAATAGAAATGAAAATCACAACACAGTTACTAAGGTTAAGGGGTATTGAATTGAATTGAATGTGGAGTGTTTCTCCCTCTTACAATATTATCTAACATTTGTGCCCTTCGAATTAGGGCTCCTTGTAAAGTTCATTCAAATATTATAAAATAAAGAAAAAGTTTATATAAGGGTGCAACCTTATAATATAGAACTGCGGGTGCACCTAAAAGATCTATCAAAAAAGATAGTTTCAATGTTCTTAAACGCTTTTGATTGATCATCGGGGATATCGTGATGTATGATCATGAAAAATAAAAAGATTTTAAGCGTCGTACATTATACATTTTATAATTATTATCTGGTCTATTTTTAAGATTTTCATAGATCTACTTGATTTTAATTATTTTTTAAATTTAAAATTTTATAATTAAATATAAAACTAAGTTTTAAAATAATCCTCATAATATTTTATACCATGATAAAATTTGAAGGTGGGCGTTAACCCCACGGCAATGGATGCATCCGTATGCCACCTGCACCCATAAAATAATATATGCAATGTAAAAATTAAATTTTCTCCTCTTTTAAAGCTCACTAAGTAAATAAAAAATAAAATAAAACAAAATTCAAATCATGTGTTTTTTCCCTTGAGAAAATTGTTGAACCATCACTGGATTACGGAGGGTTCCATTTCCATTATTTCAACAAATTTCGGCAAAATTTCGCGTGAATTACGAAGCGAGGGCATTTTCCGTCATTAGAAAAGATGTACAAAATCCACGTTCAACTTTCTTACAGTAAAAAACTCAGAGGTCTTCCTCTCTCTGCCAAAACTTTATTACCCCCACACTCTCTGAGATTCTGAGCCATTATTTTTTCATTTTTCCTTTCTATTCGTAGAAGAAATATCCAGTTGAAAAACCCAATTTCCAGATTAAATTTACCTTTCTTAATAGGCGAGATATTGGGTTTTGTTCATTGTTTTTCTCCCTACCTTTTATTCGCAATCAGGTGAATTGGGTGTCATTCATTTCGCATTTCATGAAGGTATGCATTCATTTTTTATGCTTTGGAAGCTCAATTTCTTGTTTTTATGATGTGCGCTGTGTTTAATTTTGTGTAATATTTGAAAAGGTGCTTCATTTTGGGTTGTACTTTGATTTTTATTGTCTGAGTTTGAGCTTTAGGTTTCATATGATTTTTTTATGTGAATGTGGTTGTGCGATTTACCATGGGTTTTGTTTTGATTTCTTCTAGGACATGTTTTGGTTATTTTCCGTGTTGGGTTTTCATGGAAATGGGCGATCTATTTTGGGAATAAATTCTATTTTTTCTTGAATTTTCTACTTTGATTCTAAATTGATTTTTAGATATGACTATGACTACTCTTGATTCTAAGTGTAGTGATTGTCTTTTGTCTCTGATGAAGAATTTTGGGTTTTTGATTCCCTGTATTCTAATTTTCTATATCTCACTATTTGCTCTCGGAAATTTTGTTGACTTGGGTGTTTTTCTTCTGGGGTGTTTTTAGTTGGAGTAAGATATTGCTTTTTCATTTTCTCTATGTTGGGTTTCTCTGAATTCTAGTCCAAGTTTTTTTTTTTTTGTTGGAGCATGATTTCTTCTCCTTTTTTCTCGATAAGAGGGCTTTCTTTATTTTGATAAAGGTGTGAGTCTTCTTTCTGCTTAATTTCTGGTTTTAGTTTACGTGTTCTTCTTGTTTCCTTTTTATGTGATTGGTCTTGATTATAGTACTGTATTTCACTGGCTTTCCCTGTGGCAATTGGGATTTTCTTTTCCTTGTGAAAATTGATATGCTGGGTGCATGTTTGTTCTGAGATTATCTTCTTTCTTGACTTTGAATTTGTAATTCTTGGTTCTTTTTAGAAATTAGAACCTTATTTAGCTGCAGTTTAATCTGAATTTTTCTACTGGATATTGATTTTGACAGTTTCACTCCATATGATATAGTTATTTCTGTTTATAATCTCAACCTCTTAGTTTTGGCTGACCAAAAAATTCATAAATAAAGCTATTTATGCCAATGCTGGAGTGTTATTATACTCGCCACTTATTGGGATACGAGATCTCGCTTTAATCCTGTTTTTTTTTTTTTTTTAACTCTTTCTTATGCACAATTTTATCCATTTTAAGATTGGTCATGTATACACTTTTTGTTAGTTACTACTTTTCTTGAGATGAATTTTTTTACTTTTAAGTTGATTAACTTTTTAGTGGTTATTGAGCTGAAGCAAAGATTATCAATGGTTGGGAATTTTATTCGTGAAATGTGAATTTCTTCCAATTTATGAAGTTTCAGTAATGTTCTTGCATCTATTTGCTAGTACTTTGTATTTTCCATGTTCTTGTATCTCTTTGCTAGTACTTTGTATTTTCCATTTATTGTGGGAGATTAGGCCTCTTTTGCGATTTATTCTTTCCCTTTATTTTTTCTGCAATAATATTTATTTATTTATACATTCTTAAGGAGGTTTTTGTCTTCCAATTCTATGTCTCAGTTTCAAAGACCATTTTATTAAACCTTGATGATGATCATGTCGTTTTCAGCTTGGTGACTAAACAGTGTGGTTGGTTCCTCTTTCAATGATTTTATTGAGCACTATGTTTCTAATTCATACAAAGTAATGTTTGAATTCCTTGTTCTGTATAATATTTATTCCCGAGTCATTTCTACAGATATGAGATCTTACATTGTACCGTATTCAATAGTAATTTGTCTAAGATGTTAAGTGGTGAATTTTCATGGATTTCATGAGTTGCTGAATGATACTTTTAATTCTATTTTCTCTTCTCCTCTTCTTGATTTCGTTGTCAAAGAAGTTTCTTATCAGTGCATATGGTACAAATTTAAATGAATAAACACTCAATTGTTCATTAAATTAATGTATGGAAAGAAAGTGCATAGTTTGCACTTTATTTTTCTAGTCTATCACGAGCATGCATTCCTGAATTAGCCAATACTATGTATATATTTATGTACAATTTGTTATCATACCTTTCACATGCTTTTGGATTGCCTACCAAATTTTTCTTCCCTAGAGTTTTTGGATTATGGGGCGGTGGTCTTTCTTTGACCTTATTATGGCCGTGATTTCCTTTTCCTATGTCAATAGCGGGAGTATTTATTTTGGGGCTGTGATCTTTCTTTGACCTTAATATGACCGTGATTTCCTTTTCCTATGTCAATTGTGGGAGTATTACTCTTACCCTCCTTCCCTGTCTTCTTCTCAGGATGTAGGTTGAGTAAATTTTGTGGAATTGAAAGCGGCTATAGATAGTGGCTCTTCCTGACATTGATAACTTGAGGCAATTTGTCATTGGAATGCTCACCTTAGCAATCAGGGAAACATATAGTGGTGCTCTGTAGGATCATTGCGATGGTTCAATTTTTCATTTTCTTAAAGAAAATGATCAGATTTTTCAATTCAAATATGACTTATGAAATCTGAATGTTGTTAATTCATGAAGTTCAGGTTGGTGCTTCATCTGTCATGGGTTTTGTCCCACTCTGAAACTGTTAGTACAGTGGCCCATTGTAAATAGTACAGTGGAAAAGAAAAAAAAAAAAAACTGATAATGTCTTTTCTTTCCTATTGTAAAAGTTGCCTTAGAAGTTCGCTATCCTCTTGAATGCAAAAGTGCTAACAAACACCACTGCATTGACTGCCATGTGATAACCAAATGGGTGAAAACAGTCCATTCTAAGCTCTTCTTAAATGCAGCCTTACGCTTTTCCAACCACCATAAACTTACACAGGGGCTTAGTTCTTCTGAATTTTTTACTGGAGAGTGAACTTCCTTGTTCCTACTTATTGGGCAGAAGTTTGTGTCATTAATCGGTATCTGGTTTCATGCTTTTGCACTAGGGCTCTGGGATTTATTCTTGCATTCACTTTGTAATCCTGTCTGGATGGTGGATGATTCTTGAATTTGAAATACAAATTGGTAATGTACTGTGAAACATACAAAATTGTAAATCTCCTTTTTTGTTTATTGATGCCATTTCATTTCCTTCTTTCCTGCAACTACTTTTCCTTACCAGATTTTTACTCTTGTAGTCCTTTTGTTCTTTGTCCTATATTCATTTTTTTGGGTCTCCTTTTGAGTTCTTTCTTCCATAGTTCTCCTTATTTTTGGTGATCTTTTTCTTCAGCTTATCCTTGTTTAGCTTTATTTGTCTGAATTCTATATATACGCATTCTTTAATCTTGAAAATTTATGTCTTATTATGTTTATATGTATTTTCTCAACTTACAATGAAACTTGTTTTGTTCCCGTACTCTTACTAATTGTACTAATCACAACTTGTATGATAGGCTTTCAAGCCCCTAATCTGTTCAAAACTTCAAATAATGTGAGATCTTGAATCTCAAAATATTCTGCTTTTGTAGTTTGTGATAAATGTATCATCCAAAGAACATTTCTAGTACTACCCTGGTGCCCACCAAGCCATCATCTCGTGATCCACAAATTGATAATGCTAAGATGGCTGCAAATAGTGGAGGGAACCCCGTTAACAACTCAAATATGGCTTCAAGGCAGCGACTGAGGTGGACAAATGAGCTTCATGAGCGCTTTGTGGATGCTGTTGCACAGCTTGGTGGACCGGATAGTGAGTACCATCTATCCTCTTAAATTGGATTAATTTGTTGTCAAAACTCTATTTAGAAATTTACCCAGAACAGAGATGCATAAATCAAGTTTAACTGCAAGGATTTTGTGTCACTTGGAATCATATTTGGCGCGAGAGCAACTCTCTTGTGGATACCCTGGTCAAAGAGGGAGTTGTAATCCCGTAGCCCGACCAGCTTGGGACCTTTTGAGGTTCCCACTTTAGAGAGGAGCTTTCTATTTCGTTTTTGGTTTTTTTCTGTTTGTCGATTGTACTAGGCCCCTTCTCAGGGGCTACAGTTTGTAACAACAACTTACAGTAATACAATGTTAACAATCAAAAAAAAAAAATGTTTTACTGCAAGGATTATCAAAACAAACTGGTGTTAGAATCATTTATATACGAATCCTATTGTATCTGGAGCACTTTTTAGGGGCATAAGCTTGTATCAAGTATTTTATTCTAATAAAATTTGATTACCTGTGGAGAAAACGTCTAACTACATGAGAAGTTATGTTTTAGACTAATTAATGGCATGTGTACTGCCAAATGTGCAAGGACAACAGTCACAATTGCGAAATATTGAAACAATTAGGAAAACAATGCAAGGAAACAAAAGAAAGTTTGGCAGATATGAAAAAAGGACATTATCTCAGTCCATTTTTAGAAATGGATATGCCAATAATTTTGCAATATCTGGCTCAGGTAGGTAAATTTGAACATATTTAGGGGACATTGAGGCTTTCTGAGATTATCAGGAAGCATTATTAATTGTATTGGCCTCTAATCAGAGGAAATTATGAAGAGAAGCATTAGTACTTGATTTCTTTTATTGCTTTAGAAGAATTGGACTATCAAAACAGAACATTAATTGTTTGAGGAAGCAATATTATTACTTTAACATAGAACAATATATTATGGGGGAACACTAATTATGGAATAAGTTTTAAAAAAAACCATCATTAAAAAAAACTTAAGTATTAAATGTAAGACTAATCAAATAAGACAAAAGAAATTATGAGGGATGTGTCTGGTTGGTGGAAGTTATAGTATTAATATTGTAGTTCTATTTTCTCTTGTTCCGGGGCTCTATTCATTTTATTACATTCTTCATTGCTTGTTGAGGACAGTTGTTTTTATCATTGGTGACAAAAATGGGAGGCACATTAATTATTGCCAAAGCAAATAGTAGCATTCCTTATTATATCATTCTGGTTTTTTATTATTTTATTAGAGGATCTTTTTCTTCTACAGGGGCTACTCCAAAAGGTGTTTTAAGAGTTATGGGTGTGCAAGGATTAACCATATATCACGTCAAGAGTCATTTACAGGTAATTCTCAACTGCAGAAGATAAAACATTCTTCTTGTCATCATCTTTTATTATATTTCATAGTTATCATGTATTGGCTTGTACTAATTTTAATATACATCCAGAAATATCGACTGGCAAAATATCTTCCTGAGTCGTCATCTGATGGTAAGTGGGTTAGATTTCTTAGTTTTCACCAGGGGTGATATTTATTTTTAACTGAATATGTAATGTATGTGGCCTGTGTGAGGTGTTTGCTAGACAGCTGGTGCATCTTCCATCCTCTCCCTTTGATGAACAGTGGCAATTCGCAATGTTCTCAGTGAGGGATATGCAACTGGCACAGTTGATATCCACTGTTTGTTGGTGAGAGTGGAAGGTGGGATGCCCCAGCTGTGTACCATATAGCATCCACAAGCGGTGTATGATGTATTTTATCTCTTTCAAGGTGGATTTGTTGCAACTTTGAGTATTTTTTTTGATAGTGCATGATAAATTACTGTTGATTCTCTGTTTCATGCAGGAACAAAACCTGACAGGAAAGAATCTGCTGACATGTTGTCTAACTTAGATGCTGCATCGTAAGTATCGAGTCCTGCATGTCACCATTGTTTTTTGTGGATAGACAACACTCTACTCTATTTTGGACTTAGAAGTTTGTTTCCTTTTTTTCATGGTTCGCTAAGAAGGATTTTAAGATGATCTATTCATATTTCATAATTTTCTTACTTATTCTTTTGTATTTTTGGATGGCCTATTAATAGTTTTCTTTTCATCAATCTATCTACTTGAACATGTGAAATTACTCCATCTAGATGAGATTCTTTTTTTCTTTTTTTTTTTAAGCTATCAAAAGTCATATGTTACTCATGTGATTATGGGTGTTACATTAGAGTTTTGGCAAAAACTTAATATGAAATTGGAAATACTAGACAAAAATCTATTTGGAATTGGATCTTTCAGTATACGATATGGAAATGGAAATACTGAAAATTATTAGGTTATATTTTCAGAAATTGAACCCTTCTATGTACTTGTTGGGCCTGAAAATTTAATTATTTTAGTAAATGCTTTTTTTGAGTGTCCTGGGATGGTCATCCAAGTGGTGTTTCCCTCTGTCTCTCTCATCCAAGTGGTGTTTCTCTCTCTTCTATATTCAGTTATTAATTTATAGTCCGTATCAGTAGCTTTTTCTAGAAAATAATGGAAAGTCAGCCACTAAAAAATATTTCGTCTTTTCTTTTAGGGAAATATTATATGCCTCAATCGTGTTCGTTCTTCCATATAAAATACAAGATTTACAACTTTTCATGCAGAGGAATCAAACCAGATGCTTATTCTATTTATGTTGTTTCCAGAGGAATGCAAATAACTGAAGCATTGAGGATGCAGATGGAGGTGCAGAAACGACTGCACGAGCAACTAGAGGCAAGTTCATTTTCTACATAAAAGACTGTATTCTTGCTTTTGAAGAATCGAGTTTACCAATGCTTGTTTCAAGATATTTGTTACTTTTCCTTTGCATGCAGCATTTTAAGTGCGATTTGGATTGAGAAAGTATAGCATGCACCAGTTATATATGGCATGTGGTATACCATGGAGCATCCACCATCCTCTTCTGTCGATGGATGTTTGAGATTTACTGTAACTGCATGAACATCCATCGTCGGGAAATGTTGTTAATCTTATGTTTATCATTGGTAATGGATAGTGAATGCTTCTGTTTGTGTATTATATTCCACATACCAGCGGTGTATGCTAGGCCTTCCCTATTCGATTTATCCAGAGACATCTGTAGCAACTTCCATGAAGTATAACGCTGTATCTTCCATGTGTTTGGTCAACAATTTTCAACAGGGTGTGGCTTCTACACTCTTCTAAAACGAACTACAAGTTTTTTTAAGGAAAAAGAAAAAAAAAACAAATAAAGGGAGCAACCTTTCTATTTTGAGTGGCTAATCTGTGATTTGAACCATGAACACCAGTGGAATAGTATCTAGTTTTTCTTGATTAGGGAAGCTCGGTTTTGAAGATCGGGTGAAAGGCTTGATCTTTTTGTCTTCTGCGAAGGTTGCGGGGCTTTCTTCTAGCACTCTTAGATAATTGAGCTGTGTTACTGTTTTTTATTATTGATGGGCAGTTGTGGATTGAAACCCTAGATGCTAGTGTGCTCTCTAACCACAAGGACGAGGCTGAAAACCCCATTTTGAGGGGAATTTCTAGTTTCCTATTAATCTCATATTAGTAAAATTGTGCGCATGCATGGGGAGGCAAACTAAGTGGGTGACCTGGCTTTCTAATATGGTTCTTTTTAAAAATCATGTGGTGAGTTTAGAGGGTCATCTTTTGATTTGAGTTGATCTCAACTCTCTGTTTCTGTTTATATCAGTATACAGGGTCCCCTGCTTCCCTAATGTAAATCAGATGACATTTTATATATTACAAGAAAGTGGATATTTCTCTTGGGAATATGCATCCGAAGGATTAATGTGTTTCAAGCTTTCCTTCATTTTCTTTACTATATTTGCCTTTTGTGAAATTTTCTTATTTCCAAAGTCTATAGCTTGTCTTTCAAGAATAAGAAGTTACATTATGCATCAAAAAAAGAAGAATAAGAAGTTACATTTCTTTGATGATTATTGTTATTACTATTTCCACCACAACCACCACCACCACCCCAGTACTATAATCACTGACACCACTGTCATAATTGTCATGTGTAATGAGCATTGTGACTGCTAATTGTCGTTGTGTTATTATTATTATTATTATTTATTTTTATAACTAATACTCAAATATTGGCTGTTGTTCATCAGGTGCAGAGGCAGCTCCAGCTACGCATCGAAGCCCAGGGCAAGTACCTCCAAAAAATAATTGAAGAACAACAGAGGCTGAGTGGTGTGCTTGCCGGAACTCCAGCTATTGTGCCAGAATCCGGTGACCACATGCCAGAACCTGATGCAAAAACTGACCCAGCAACCCCAGCTGTCACCTCTGAGGCCCCTTTAAAAGATGAACCCACAAAAACAAAGTGTTTGGTAGCTAAGAGTTTCTCACAGGAGGAATCATTCTCTTCAAGGCATGAGCCTCCCACTCCCGACTCTGGCTCCCCTGGATCAAGCCCTTGTGCTGAAAGGCCTGTAAAGAAGCAACGTGGGCTTGAGCCTAGTGGGCTAGGTGGGCTAGGTCACCCAATACTCGAGTCAAGCTCTGGGTCAGTTTTTAGGCAGGCAGATATGTGCTCTGCTTACTCCTCTTTGGAGGGGGTTTCGGGACGTTTCGATTCACTGGGGTCGGTGTCTCTTTGTGAGAGAGAAGGGTTTGGGGATGCTTCTGGGGCCGAGTTATAGGAAATTGGAGGCGTTTTTCGTCCTAGTCTTTGAAGTTCATGTTTTCGAGTTTGCTCCATTTTACTTCTTTTTTCTCTTGATGTATGTTTAGACTGCAGAATTCGAATTAAAGCTGTATGTGACATTTTAATGAATATGTACCAGTTATAATGCAGAATGGCTTCTGTCCATAGCCCCTAAGTTAAAAGAACAAGGACCAGTTCATCCGTGCAATTACCCTGTGGAATGCGCCCCTCTCTCTCTCTCTCTCTCAATTAGAAGAATCCATTCAATTTATAACATACTCAAGAATCTCATATATTAAGATCCGTAAGTTCCATGGTTCTCGCCAGCAAACAAAATGTGATTGTGCCTGTTCATTGTATTTACATGAGCATCTCTGCACCCCCTAAAGTAATAATTTGAAGGATTAAAATGTCAAATTCTCTATTCTCCAATTATTCATGTAGAAATTTCCTGATAAAATTCCACAGAAAACGCATTTCCATGGTGCATGCACAAGGCCACCAGTGATCTAAAATATAGAAAGGAATCACAATTAAGAAGCAAAACGTTTACTCCTCATCTTCCTCTTCATCAGCATCAATCCCCACCCAATGAGTGAAGGCAAATAAGAACTCTTTGAATGAAACCATTCCATTTTTGTCCCAGTCCATTTCCTCTGCAACAATATGAATATTATGAGAAAAGAAAAAGCAAAAGAAACAACCGAAAACAGCTCCATCAGGGGTACAAACAGGCTGGGTCAACCTGACTCGGCAGGGTCCAAACCAGACCCAGACCTAGCAAGGTAAAGGGTTTTCGGATATGAACCCGATCCCCTATACTGTCAAGCATCAATTGTCAAAAACTGTAACCAAAATCATCTCATAAATGATAGTCGAGGCTACATGTAGAATTGTATGCTATATCATCATATATCATAATAGAATGTATCATCATATATCATAATAGAATGCCTTCACAGACGCACACACGTGTGCATGCAAAAAAACACAGAGAGAGGCCAAACCAAATCTTCTCATGGCGATGCGACCAGATGAGCGCTCGCCTGAAGTTGTTTCATTGATTGCTTGCACCATCTCATACTTGCTAACATACCCATCCTTGTTTTTGTCCAGAAAAACAAAGGCATTAACCAGCTTTTCGAATGTTGACTCGAGTTGTGGCAACCCCAGTTTAAGTTTCTATAGATAGTTGAGGAAAAAGAGATCCGGAAAATATAACCCAACTTCTAGAAATCTTTCCTTTGAAGTCTAGGCCAAAGACAACGGGCATTTAGTCAGGTCGGTGAAAGAAGCAAATTATCCTAAAAAATATCAGTTTTATATTAATGAAAATGTATAATATAGTACAGTCAAGTCCTCTAGTACTTGTGTAAAAATAAAATCACCTAAGATACCGATAATTCAACACCACATGTACAAGAGGGAGAGATATATAATCACAAAGATACCCAAAAGTTAAATCAAGTGTACAAGAAGAGATACTAAAATACCCAAAATTTAACATCAAATTTATGAGAGAGAGAGATTAAGGATACAGCAGGAAGAACGGCTGGCTCTTTGAGAAGATAGACGAGGCAGAGGAGTACAATGAATTCGTTGAATTTCATTCCCTGCGTCTCGCTTATATCGCATGCCTCAAAGAGATCACTCACCTCTTCCTCCGTAAATGAAATCTGAAGTTTGTTGAAACAGTGCTTCAGTTCTTCAGGATCTATACTCCCATTCGAATCCTCATCTACCAACACAGAAAAGAACTCTCCATATTTTATTTTGATTCCACTTCACATAAAATAAAGATATAAAGTTAATCATCAAGAGAAATGAAAGATATGTTCAACTGACCATATCTTAGGAACTTTCTTAAAAAGCTAAAAAATCCGATATCCATATATAATTGAAAAAGATGTAATCTTCATTCTTCACTATTTGGTGCAATTAAAAAGATATTTTTTTTTGGGTAAATCAGAATGAGCTTTCAGAGGTGATTAAGTTTTAACAATAAAAAAATAGCAATAAAAATACACAAAAAGGCCACAGGGGAGAAAGAAAACTCACCAAATTGTTCAAAAATGGTCTTAACATTTCTTAAGTTCTCATCGATTTTTGGGAACTTCATTATTATACTGTTAAAAGATTTCACAGTCGTCCCCTCAGCAGCTTTGCGCCGCATGGCTTCTACCATCTTTGCCTCAAGCTTTGAAATTGGAAGGCCTTGCCTTCTTGGGGAGTCGCATTTCCCAATGACGCCACCCATTCTAGCCCAATAACAATAATAATGGCATATAGCCTAGAGGCCTACTATTTGCCTGCAAAAAAAAAAATGAAAAAAAAGAAAGCCAAAGACACAGGTTTATAAGTAAAAGAGAAAGTATGTGCATTAGCTGTTATAGCCCCTATATGGAAACATGCCATGAGTTTTTTTTTCAACAATATCCTGACTCAATTGGAAACTCCAATTTGGACTAAAAAACATCATTTTGACAAAAATAATTCTTGAAAAAAAGGGGTGGAGGAATAGCCAACAAAAGGATCATCATCATCATCCAAGCCTTATCCCAACTATTTAGGGTTGGCTACATGAATCCTGTTCCACCATTCTGCGCTATCAAGTGTAGGTCCAGCTCTCAGTCAAACCATATCTCTTCTCATTACTTCCATGCATATCCTTTTGGGCCTTCCGCTTGACTTTTTAGAGCCTTCCACTTGAACTAATTCGCCCCTCCTCACCAATGTTGTATTAGGTCCACCGTGCCCATGACCAGCCCACTTAAGTCTACTTTCCCTCATATTATCGCCTATTATAGCCACCCCTAAGTTCCCTCAAATACCCAACAGAACGATGTGATCCTCAATTATTTTGGTTCTTGGCAATGGCCAAAACCCAAAATTGCAAGATTCCATGAGTAAAGAAATTTATGGTCACTCTGCTCTGCCAAAGAAAGCCTATTTGTTTCGGGGAAAGTATACTACAAACCAATGGACTATGATGTTTGGTACACCAGAGGGCCATCCACTATCCATCCTGATGATGGACACCAGAGATTAGTGCTAATGAAAACTACCAGGCCATTCACCTTAGGTACACTTAATATCCATTGTCTATCATTTGATACAGATAGTGGGTACACCATTGGAGTACCATATACGATCTCCAATATATTATGTTTGTTTTAATGGTATTGGACAAACTGGGTAATGAATACTAGAAGGGCTGAGAGGAACACATGTGAGGAATGTTAACCAAAGTTAAAGCCTCCTCTACAGGTTTAGAGATATTCAGGAATATAATAACAGGTATGCTGCAACTCAAATTCTTGAGGTGACAGTAGTTTTGTGCTAACCATGACGTTCTTACTTTTTTCTTATTCCTTTTTCTAAAGTAGCTACAGTTATCTACATTATCTTTCTATTAGTTTTGCACTGACCGGATATATATATATATATATATATATATATATATACTACGTATTCGTTGTAGTCGTACACCACTGAGAGTACGTAGTTAGTAGTAGACTACTATTAGTAGTAAGTAGTAGGTACGGTCGTCGTGTAGTTGTTCGTT